ATAGCCCACAGCAGATGTCAGCACTTAAGGGATAAAGAGATAGCTAGGTCTCGCAGGGATTCGGGAGAACCTCTAGCTAAGATTGTTTTCTTGCAGACGTTTCGTTATCCAACTAGTCTGTAGAGATTCTCAGTCATCCAGGTCATGGTTGTCCCAAAGGTGCAACTTAGAACTACGCCGACTTCAGTCTGACCCAATGGTGGGTTGTCCCCGGTTCGCACCAGTTCTATAGAACCGGCAGTAAAACCAGCGGGAAGCTCCGTCCACTGACCCCGACATCACTAAAACGCTTCTGCGCATTTATTTATTTATTGGTTCGATTTATATGCCGTCCTTCTCCGGAGACTCAGGGCGGCTTACAATGCGTTAAGCAATAGCCTTCATACTTTTGTATATACCTGCTTAGTAGGGCTTTCGCCCCCCCCCAAAGCGGTGTTCTTTTTTATACAAAGTCAGCTTATTGCCCTCCAAAACCGGATCCTCATTTTACCTACCTCGAAAGGATGGAAGGCTGGGTCAACCTTGAGCCTGGTGAGATTTGAACTTGCAGTAATTGCAGGCAGCTGGTGTTACTTAACAGCAGTTTAGTCTGCTGCGCCACCAAGGCTCTTGCATGCGCGCGGCCCCGATTCAAACCGTTAGTAAAGGTAAGTAGAACCCACCCCTGGTCTGACCTAAGCATAGTACATAAAATTATCTGCCACAATGTCCTTCCTGTCAATGACTACTTCAGCTTCAACCACAATATACGAGCAAATAATAGATACAAACTCAAGGTAAACCGTTCCAAACTCAATTGCAGAAAATATGACTTCAGTAACAGAGTGGTCAATGCCTGGAATGCACTACCTGACTCTGTGGTTTCTTCCCCAAACCCCCAAAACTTTAACCTTAAACTGTCTACTGTTGACCTCACCCCATTCCTAAGAGGTCTGTAAGGGACGTGCATAAGCACACCAGCGTGCCTACCATCCCTGTCCTAATATTCCTTTTTACTTACTCTTTTCATGTATTCAAATTAGGTTTATACTTTTACCTGTTATCTTATATATGTTTGACAAATAAACTTATGACTATGAACTGGACTTTCTTGTTTTTCCTTTCCAAGACGTTTTGCTTCTCATTTAAGAAACTTCTTCAGCTCTGACAGGAGAGTGGGGAATGGAAGGATTGATATTCCTTGCAGACAGCTGTTAATTTTTTTCCCTCTGGAAATCCATTCCTACTCCCACACCATTCAAAGGGTATTCATCCCAAACTGTATAGCTAAAGTTGCCTCCTGAAAAAAGCACCTTTTGGATTATCCAACTACCAGTAGATAACATATCAGCGCTAGGGAGTGTGGCGTTTGCTCCCTGTTTATATTCAGTATCTTGAGCTGCCAGTCTTGGTGGGGGTTAATTTTGCCCTTGATAGTTCCTTAGTTAGGATATTGTTTTCTGTTTGGTTGTTTGCCTGAAGAATCTACTGAATATAAATAGGGCAGGGGTGGGCAAATATGGCCCCTTTATGACCTGCGAACTTCAACGCCCAGAATTCCTTAGCCAGCTTGGCTGTCTCAGGAATTCTGGGAGTTGAAGTCCACAGGTTGTAAAAGGGCCACATTTGCCCACCCCTGAAATAGGGAGTAAAGCAGTGGTGGGTTGCCGCCGGTTCAGACTGGTTCGCAAGAACCGGTAGTAAAACCAGTGGGAGGCTCTGCCCATTGATCCAGACGTCATCATAGGTGATCTGCGCAGGCGCAGAAGAGTGCGGGCACAAGCGAGCGAAGCAAGCGGGCACACAGGCACGATGCAAACCGGTAGTAAAGGTAAGGAGAACCCACCCCTGGAGTAAAGCCCACACTCACTAGCACTGATGATGTTTCCTAATGGGGCAATGAAATGTCTGTAAGCTCAGAGGGCACCAAGGACTCCATAATGTGAGAAAAGGAAGAACTGTGTATGATTCAGTCAAGCTAGCATCCTACGTCCTAGCTCAGATTTACTTGAACTACGATGATGTTTGTCCACCGTGTTTGAAGAGGACCTTGACATCTAACAGGTCATGGGCTGTCCACGATGTGTCCACCGGTGGCTGGTATACTGCTGGTGTACAGTATACCGAATATACTGAACTATACTGCACAGACGAACATGGAGGCTGGAATATTAATAGTCCTTAACAGCAATGAGAAAATGTCGCTGTCATAATTTAGAATGATTTGCTTCCCAAATTATAAAGCTAATGTTTTACAATTGGGCAAAAGATCCCTGTTGTTACACCGTTCCAAAACCGCAATGACTTTAAATCACAACAATGCAAAGTCATCGGAAACATTTTCAATCATGCCTCTCGTTATTTCCTTTAATTTATTTAAAGACTCTTGGCAACTTAGGAGCCTTTGAACGTTATGGATGTCGGCTCCCATCAGCATCATCCATCATAGCTAATTGCAGGGGACTATAGGGAATGTAGTCTAAAACCTTGGTATGACACCAGGTTGCCTATCTTCCTGCCTCATTTTTTCCCCCTTCAAAATAGGGTTGGATTTGCCCCTGAACAAATCACAGGTTTATGGATCGTCTTTGCTTTCTTTCTAGGAGTTTTCTATGTTTATTAGCAGGGCTAGATATATATTTCAAAATTAGAGATGGGCCAGGTTGACTTGAGGATGAATTTACACTGTTTAAATGAGCCTCACCATCATTGAAGGCTGAACTGGCAAACAATGCAATTTTATAACAGAAGAGCTGAAACTCAGGTTCAGAACGTGAGGCTTTATGCATGGATTCAAGATAGTTGGACAGTAAAGCACATGGTGACTGTGCTCTATATTTGCTCTGTGGTGCTTTATATAATGCAGGATTTCTAAGGAAACTTCTTTGTGAAGTCAGAAGCCTCACTGGAAAGAAACACATGTCCTAGTGGTCTAACTCAGATCAGGCAAGAGAAGGACATCAGTGAAGTTTACTTTTTGATGAAGCACTTGATTGGCATCAATGCTGGAACTTCCCATAAAATATTATATCCTTTATATCCGCAGTCTCTGGAGGCCTTATGGAGGCCAGAAATGGGCCCATTTCCAGCCTTCTCAAACTTCCGGTAGGCCCGTTTTTCGCCCTCCCCGAGGGTCCATGTGTGCCCTGCATTTACCTGCATCCAAAACAGGTCGCATGGGGACTCCTGGAAAGTGCTGGGTGGGGTGAGCAGGGCCAGCCAAGAGTGGGATTTGGGGGTTCTCTGAATTGCACAGAATCTTAGCTAGAGTTTCTCCTGAACCCCTGCAAACCCTCAGCAGCCCACTCCTGCCCCCAACTCAGAACTTCATCAGTGGTGGGTTTCAAAAATTTTTACTATTGGTTCTGTGGGTGTGGCTTGGTGGGCATGGCTTGGTGGGCGTGACAAGGGAAGGATACTGTAAAATCTCCATTTCCACCGCAATCCAGGGGAAGAATACTGTAAAATCTCCATTCTGTCCCGATCAGCTCCATTCCCTCCAGATCAGCAGGCAGAGAATAGATGGGGGCGGGGCCAGTCAGAATTTTTACTACTGGTTCTCCGAACTACTCAAAATTTCTGCTACTGGTTCTCCAGAACTTGTCAGAACCTGCTGAAACCCACCTCTGAACTTCATGTACCCCTGCAGTAAACTTAATAAGTAGACTTCCAACAATCAAGTGTTCAAGATTGACTTTAAACTTGAAAGCAGACAAAACATTTCCTTAGCAATGGGAAAGTTCATTTCAGGTAAGAATCTGTTTCGTATTGTTGCATTTCATAAAATAAAAGGTATGGAACAACAGTCAACTCTTGGACAAAGAAACCGCATCTTTCCGCTTTGGAATTAATATATTACCAAATATATATATTTTTTAAAGAACTCAGTATAATTTTGAAAGATGACTCTCAAAACCTTCTTAGAATCTATTCTTCCTTATGATCTGGTTCAGCCCCTTTCAGTGAATTTTACATAAACTGGAAAGGGATTAAACGATGTAGATACCTGTTTCTACTTTCTCAAGCTGTCAGCTTGTTTCTAAATATCATATTAAAGGTAGGGATGTCAGTAAAAAAAAAAAAAAATCTTCTCAGTGCTCTCTTTTTAAATATTTTTTTAATCCCGATTTATTACTTTATAAGTAACTCAAGGACAGCAAACTTACATAATACTCCATCATTCCTCCCTCTATTTTCCTCACAACAGCAATCCTGTGAGCTGAATTGGGCTGAGTGAAAATAACAGGGTCAAAGTCACCTAGACAGTTTTTCATGCTTAAAGCAGTACTAGAACTCTCCTGGTCTCCTGGTTATTGGTCCAAGGTCACTCAGTCAGCTTTCATGCCTAAGGTAGGACTAGAACTCACCATCTCCTAGTTCAGGGGTCGGCAACCTTAAACACTCAAAGAGCCACAAAGGTCCTAACCAGAAGCCCCCCATTCAATTCTGGAGCCGACCGGAAGTCCAGTTCCCCCACCATAGAGTCTCCTCCTAGCACGGCATCCTTTTTCCTCTGCCGATTGGAAGTTGGTTCCCCCATCATAGAGTTTCCTCCTAGCCAGCATCCTTTTTCCTCTGCTGACCGGAAGTCCGGTTCCCCCACCATAGAGTCTCCTCCTAGTGCGGCATCCTTTTTCCTCTACCTGTCCTAACCAAAAGCCCTCTCAATTGTGGAGACGACCAGCAACAGGGAGCCACAGCAGAGGGATGAAAGAGCCACATGCGGCTCCAGAGCGACGGGTTGCCGACCCATATCTTAGTTTCTAAGCCAGTATCTTTACCACTACATAAAATGGTTTCCCCCAATGTTAATATTAATTCATTAATACTAATGCAAATGAACCCAATTTATACTTCTCAGAATTCTATCTGGAAAAAAAAAAACAGGTTTGGTTAAATGCCAATATCCCCACTCTTTCAAACTGGGCTATTTAACTTATCATCCCCCCACAAAAAAAAGAAAGAAAAGTGCAATAAAAATGAGCACATTAGGAGAAAAAGTTGCACAACAAGCTGTAAGGTAAAACACTTGTAAAAAAGTTTATATTCAGAAAAAGTGCATGCAGAAATCCATATATGAAAGGAAAGTATCTATAAAGGTGCATTCTTTAAAAGGCATTCGCAGGAAAATATATGTCTTTCCACTTGGTTTACCATATTTTTCATCCCTCCATGCATTCTCTATCTATGACCATTGACCATTTCCATTTGCCAATGAGGCTGCTTTTAAGGTTTTTCTCGGGTTTTGTTTGATTTTGCCAAGAATGATAGAGAAAGCACATATGAATTAATGATGTGAAGACAAACATCTCCTGCATTATTTTATTATCAGTTCTCTGTGAATGTAATGAAAAAGAATTTGTCATCAATATTCCTTTCGAGAGGAAAGAGACTCTTTCTGGAATATGTTGTTTTTCCATTTATCTATACCAAAGTCGACATAGATTGGGTTGAACAGCCTGTCTTTCACTTACAAACTTTTCTCCACTAGTTTGAAGTCTTTCTGGTTTCCAAATGCCTCAATTCAATCCTGATGGGAGAAAGGAGGAGCAAATACCTTCTCTAGGGATTTTGTCAAAGAAATCTTACACAAGCAGGAAAGCATCAAAAGATTTAGATACATCACACACACAAAAACCCCCCAAATCTGCCATCCATAACCCCTTCCACACCATTCTCCGTAAAAAAAAAAAGAAGAAAAAAAAAAAGAAAAGGGAAAAACGCTACAGAGGCGCTGAAAATAAGTTAGAACAGAGACTCCTAAAGGAGGTACAGTTTTAACAAGCAGGAAGGCAGATGAAACTGAAAAGTTGAAAACTTTTGAAAACCGCATTCCTTGTTATTTTAATTGTAAAAGAATTTATAGCAAAAGAAGGGCTTGAACCAAGAGTCTCTAGTTCACTGCTACAAATCGTCTAGATAAATGTTTTGCATTTTCCTTTACTCAAATGTAAGTCTGCAATTTAAAGATTATTTATATCCAGCTTTGTTATTCTCAGTAGATGAACAAATAGTAAACCACTAAGGTTGGGAAATAGGCTAAATGCAGTGGTTATCCTTCATATTAAGAGCAAAAAAAAACAAGAACAACAGTCAGGCGATATCCAAATACCACTAACGAGTCTAAATGGGGAGTTTAGTGCTGCTGTAAAATGGCAATTCAGCCAAAAAAAAAAACCCCTACACTTAAATGCCATTAGAGACTGTGACTTAAACTCCTAAAATGAAGGATTACCGAGTGAAAACAAGAAGGCCATAATTAACAGTTTGTGGGGTAAAAAAAACAGCAACACAATATGGCATCTTTAAGAAAAGAGTGCAGGGAAAGAAACACAAGTCAAGTGTTTAGGGAGGAAAATATCCCACTGGAGCAAAGAGGAAAGGGCAGAGTGGTAACACTGATTTAAATCAGCTATAAAAACAGAGCTGATTTAACACAACAACAAAACAAGAAACTCTGGTTGTTTCATAGCCCAGGTTACAATGCCCAGAATAACAGCAGTCTGGATCAAGATTATAGGGTTTTAACAAGCACCTAGGACAGGGATCGGCAACCTTAAATACTCAGAGAGCCACAAAAGGTCCTAACCAGAAGCCCGCATTCAATTCTGGAGCCGACCGGAAGTCCGGTTCCCTCATCATAGTCTTTTCCTAGCATGGCGTCCTTTTTCCTCTGCTGACCAGAAGTTTGGTTCACCCGCCATAAAGTCTCTTCCTAGCATGGCACCCTTTTTCCTCTGCCGACTGGAAGTTAGTTCCCCCACCATAGAGTTTTCTCCTAGCGTGGCATCCTCTTTCCTCTACCTGTCCTAACCGAAACCCCTATCAACTGTGGAGCCGACCAGCAACAGGGAGCCACAGCAGAAGGATGAAAGAGTCACATGCGGCTCCAGAGTCACGGGTTGCTGACCCCTAACCTAGGGGGTAAAATGGGAGGCTTTCTACCATTTTTAGTGAAAGGGGATACTCCATGGAGGAAAACCCACTCACAAGTAAAAGTAGGGAATCTTGCAATCTCCATATATGCAGAAAGTCCTCTTTGGATGATTTTAATGGTCTTCAACATCTGTAAAGGTGAAAGGGATCCATCTGGTATCATAAACCCAAGTAATTGAAGGCCTTATATCATAAGCTAAACCTTGAAGTTGGCTAGATAGTTAACTGGCAGTTACTTAAGCAGTAACATAAGAGTTGCATGGCTAGATTACTACCTGGCAACCACCTGAAGATTTCAGAGAAGGATAAGAAAGCCTTACTGTAATCTGAATGTGTTAGAATATTCATGAACTGGAATAGAGGCATGGTAACAAGGTCAGCCAATGAATAGGCATAGCAACAGATCAGCCAATGGGAGCTGAAACAGTTTGAAGTCTGGGCGTGGCTTATCTTCGGAGTCTCTCTGCTGAGAATTGAAATGAAACTAGTCTGCTCTGCTAGTGTTTTGCTCATAACTGCTACCACATTGGAAGAATCTGCTGTTGGTATTGTACATTTATTCATGTGTTATTATGTATATAAAGAGAAGTTAATGAATCCTGCAGAATCAGTTATCAGTGTGTTCTTTCTGGATGTGTGTGTTGCAACAAACTCTGATAGAACATGAGATGGTCAATGTATGGATAATGGTATCTAAGCTATCCCTGTCCAGGAAAAGGTGTAGCTAGCATACCAACCAAATTAGTTAACAGTGCTTATTATCATAGTAGTCAATTGTATCTTCCATGACAACAATGGGACAAGGAGCATCCAAAATCTACCTGACTGGGAACTTTCAGTTCCATTTAATACAGCAATCTCAGCATGTCCCGTAACTGGGGACCAGTCTGTCTTGTCAAGATTCAATCTCCGTTTACAAGCCACTTTTAATTCAAATATCATGGAAATGTAGAGCTGAGCACCATCATCTTAATGACAACACCCCAGCCAAAACATTAGATGCCACTTCTAAGAATATATCTAGATAACTTTAGGGACAAAATCATAATTTGAAAAACCCATAGCATATCTGCCAGATGCAGAAGTAGAGCTAATCAATATTTTCTGAGGCTGCCCCTTCTGCAAGAGCAGAAGCATCATTATCTGCATCTTAATTTATAAAGGCAGTATGGAAAAAGGTACTTAATTATCATATTCTGTAGCCTATTTCTTTTCTTCCAGTCAATCATATCTGATTCTTGGAGACTTTCTGAACAAGTGCCTACAGTTTACTTGGCAAAGTTTTTCAGAAGTGGTTTACCATTGCCCCCTTCCTAGGACTGAGAAAGAGTGACTGGCCCAAGATTACCCAGTTAGCTTTGTACCTATGGTAGGACGAGAACTCACACTATCTCAGTTTCTAGCTTGATGCCTTAACTATAACGCCAAACTGGCTCTCGGCCCATATCATACTGAGCTATAAATAACAATAGCAGTAGCACTTAGACTTATATACCACTTTACAGTACTTTACAGCTCTCTCTAAGTGGTTTACAGAGTCAGCATATTGCCCCCAAGGGCTGTCAACAGAAGTAGCCTGCAGTACTGCAATCTAACCACTGCACCACAGCGGCTCTTGAAATCACAATTTCCAAACTATATTCCATGTTCTTACACAATACGTTATGCTAAAAAAGCAAACAAACCATAATATTATGGCAGAGAAAAGAGAGGAGGAATAGAGAGAGGCTTAATTTCAGTTTTGGTCACCACGGTGTAAAAAAGATGTGGAGACTCTAGAAAGAGTGCAGAATGCAGAGAAGAGCAACAAAGATGATTAGGAGACTGGAGGCTAAAACATATGAAGAATGGTTGCAGGAACTGGGCATGTCTAGTTTAATGAAAAGAAGGACTAGGAGTGACATGATAGCAGTCTTCCAATATCTCAGGGGCTGCCCCAAAGAAGAGGGAGTCAAGCTATTCACCAAAGCATCTGAAGGCAGGACAAAAAGCAATGGGTGGAAACTAATCAAGGAGAGAAGCAACCTAGAACTAAGGAGAAATTTCCTGACAATTAGAACAATTAATCAGTGGAACAATTTGCCTTCAGAAGTTGTGAATGCTCCAACACTGGAAGTTTTTAAGAAGATGTTGGATAACCATTTGTCTGAAGTGGTGTAGGGTTTCCTGCTTAAGCAGGGGGTTGGACTAGAAGACCTCCAAGGTCCCTTCCAATTTTGTTATTCTATTCTATTCTATTCTATTCTATTCTATTCTATTCTATTCTATTCTATTCTATTCTATTCTATTCTATTCTATTCTAATTTCAACATAGGCATTTGCCTAAATACGATTTGATATGATGATCTTAACAAGTGTGAAAACAACACAGTAACTGCAGTTTTATACAAGCGCAGAATTCTCAAGTGACACTATGCCATATGGGGTGTGTTTGGTTTCATTTTAGTATGTTGTCTGAATCCAGGTTTTGTGGTTTGTTAATGAACCATAACTTATTTAACAAGCCACTGCTTCCATGTTATAGCTTCCAACATGCATCTGGCAACAAATCTGATCTGAAGCACAACAACAACATATTTATCACTATTTGTTTTTGGCAACTTTTTTTTTTGACAATCACGCCATATCTGCATATATATACCTTCTCCTTCTAGTGTGTGATGTTAAATTAGAAATTCCCAGTTGATTCCAGGTGAGGCGCCTCTTTGAATGGAGACGCTTCAACGCTCCTTTCCTTGTGAGGCTTCATCCAACAGCTTCATCAAAAGGAGAATCTTAAAAGTTGTGCCAAAGTGGGGGAGAAGTGAAGTAGCAGCAAACAACACATTGTACACATGCTTCTAATTATGGCTGGCTGGCATTTATAGGTCTTCTGCCAGCAGTGGCATCCAAAAATCACAAATGTAACTGGATCAGTGAGCATTTGGCTTTCACGAGCTGTCAATTAAGCATAAGATGATGGATTTCAGCTCTCTTTTTTCAAAGAGTATATGTCCGTCCAAGTGTTTCGAACCCAGCTTCCTACTCCTCTCTCTCTCTCTCCCTCCCTCCCTCCCCCCCTCTCTCTCTGCAATGCAGTAACAAAGATTGGCACTTTCACTCACATTCTGGGGCAAAAGGAACTTTATTGTGCCCAGTTCGCTTAAAATTGCTGTTTGCTCTTTCCCCCTTCGGTCCTATTTTCAATTCATCCAGTTATTTAAAGTGACCTTTCAAATAAGGAGAATGGGGGGAGGCTAATTAAAAAGCATATTTTGGATTTTTTTAAAGCACCATAAACGTACTCGGAAAGACCTGCCAGTGAACAAATGACAGTACACATTTTAAAACCGCAAAGGAATGCAAAAGTCATGAGCATCTAATTGTACAAAAGCTCACAATGCTTTTTGTTAGCAGTTAGCAAACACAACTGTAGGATCCTGGCACAGGGAAGGGATGGTGGTGTAAGATTTTGCATTTACCTTTTCTTGGGATAGGAATGTGGTTCCCTGCTGAATTGCTTACACAAACCATAATTATCATTGTTTCACTTGTGGAAGAATCAATTAACAGGGATGAGAAGGAAAAAATGTACTTCAAAAAACAGGGGAGACAATTGCAACTGTTCTTTGTTGAATTCCTCAAAAAGCTTCTTTGCCATTTCTTCCTTGTCTAATTATTAAGAACCTTTTAATGTTCATTGATTTCAACATAAACACATTGATTTTCCCAACTACAAATCAGTATAAATACCAGGCTGTTCTACTCTATAAACGCGGTACATGGAGAGCAGAAGGAATTTTCTTTGAAGCTCTTTTCTTCTGCCAGCTTTGATCTTTCATTTTAATAACTTAAAGCAAAGAAAGGAAACAGTACCACTAAATACCTGGCATCGTTTCACTGTACTAGATAGAAATTACATCCACATTTGTATTTTCTGGCCAGTTTGCCAAAACCCATGCATAAATACAAGATGGTAGGAGAAGGAGGAAAATCAGTTTATTTCCTTGCGTTTTCTGAGCTTAAAAAGGATTTGCAAAACAAACAAACCTGTTAATATAGGTAGACGTGTATATATCTACCCTGGCAATTTTTCTGTAATCTGAAGTTATTTTGCTTTCTACAGACGCATTCACATGGGTTATGTTGTTGTTGTTGTTTTCTCTGCTGTATTAAAATGACTTGCCAGAAATTTGCAGGCTAATCACTAAAGACAGTTGGCTGCTTTTGTGCACTTGGAGATGAGATATAGCTCTTTCGGGCAGCCCGTTTCATATATATTTATAGAAAAAGTAACTGCTTTCCCTTTTCTTCCCTTTCTTGCAGACACACAGACAACGCAAATGCCTGCTGAGTGGGAAGCGTAAAGCATTTTGAAAAGACCAAAAGCTGAGAAAGGCAATTAATGCTCATCTTCCACAATAGAATTCATCTCTCAAATGTTGTAGTTAAAGATAAAAAGTTTGGAACCTTAGCATTTTGGAATTGGTCAAACCCAACCATCTTCTAGCTGGAAAAACGAGGCACAGCTTTAGTAGAAACAGGGGTGAAATCTACTTACCTTCCTTACCGATTTGCACAAACTGGTCTAAACCGACTGAATAGAGGGGTGAAATCCAGCAGGTTCTGACAGGTTCTGGAGAACTGGTAGTGGAAATTTTGAGTAGTTCAGAGAACCGGCAAAAACCACCTCTGGCTGGCCCCAGAGTGGAGTGGGGATGAGGATTTTGCAGTATCCTTCCCCTGGAGTGGGGAGGGAATGGGGATTTTGCAGTATTCTTCCCCTGGAGTGGGGAGGGAATGGGGATTTTGCAGTATCCTTCCCCCAGGAGTGGGGAGGGAATGAGGATTTTGCAGTATCCTTCCCCTGGAGTGGGGTGGGAATGAAGATTTTGCAATATCCTTCCCCCAGGAGGGGAGGGAATGGAGATTTTGCAGTATCTTTCCCCAGGAGTGGGGAGGGAATGGAAAGTTTGCAATATCCTTCCCCCAGGAGTAGGGAGGGAATGGGGATTTTGCAGTATTCTTCCCCAGGAGTGGGGAGGGAATGGGGATTTTGCAGTATCCTTCCCCTGGAGTGGGGAAGGAATGGAGATTTTGCAGTATCCTTCCCCCTGGAGTGGGGAGGGAATCCACCCCCACCAAGCCCACAGAACCGGTAGGGAAAATTTTTGGATTTCACCCCTGAGTTAAAGATAAAAAGTTTCGAACCTTAGCATTTTGGAAGCAGTCAAACCCAAACCATCTTCTAGCTGGAAAAACGAAGCACAGCTTTGGTAGAAATAATGCACCAGTGAGATACTTCACAGAAAAACAAGGAACCAATGAACAGAACCAATGGCCGGAAAAAGAAAGGACGTCGATTAAA